CGTAAATCTTCATCAAACAGACACCCCTTGCCGCGTGCTATCCGTCATCTCTTAGAAGAACGTTCGCGGTCCTTTGCTCGGTACAAATTGACGGGTCTGATGGGAGATGTCAATGACTTCATCCGCATTCGCAATTTATGCAAAGCAAGGACCCGAGGGTTCCAGAGAAACCAACAGAATGGTATGTTAGCCAGGGCACGGGTAAACTGGTCAGTCCCGTACAAACTTATGCGACGAACACGGCAAAACACTCCATCCGCCCTTGCCCTATCTAAACCCGACGGTACCCCAGCCACCTCATCTGCAGAAGTGGCGGAAATGTTCCGGTCCCGTTTCGACCAAATCTTTAACATCCCATCTCCAATCAATCATCCCAATCTTCATCCCGTAACCTACAGATCCCCGTTAGATCACTTTGTCATAACAGTCTCAGAAGTGAAAGAACAACTAAAACGCGTGAACTCCTTCAGCTCCATGGGTCCTGATGAAATCCACCCCAGTATACTGAAAGAATCCGCGGATGTGTTGGCTGCCACATATGCCCATCTCTTTCAAATGTGCTTGGACACGGGAACCCTTCCACAACGGTGGAAGAGGGCAACTGTTATCCATATTTATAAGAAAGGCGATAGACACTTGCCTACTAGCTAAAGGCCTATCAGCCTAACCAGTATTCCCAGTAAGATTTTCGAGCGCCTCATTAAACGGCGTATTCTAGGACATTAACTGAGAATGGCTTGGTACACGCTTCCCAACACGGCTTCCTACCAAACAGGATATGCATCTGCAATATGCTGACCTTAATGGATAGCTTAATCCGTGCCTATGACGAAGGTCATATTTCGCACGCGATCTTCATGGACTTTGCCAAAGCCTTCGACAGAGTGCCACACATTCCTCTCCTGTACAAACTAGAGAGTCATCGCATCACTGGGTGATTGCTTTCCATGCTGACTAGTTTTCTGTCGAATCGCTCCTTCGAGGTTCGAGTAGGCACATCTGTTTCTTCACCCTCCCCAGTCTCAATAGGAGTCCCACAGGACTCCGTACATATTGCATACTATTTCTGATCTATATTAATGATCTCCCTAAACGTCTCCTTATAGAGATTGCCATATACGCGGATGATGTCACTATCTGGGGCACAGACGCATCCGAAGTGCAGTCGGCGATTGACCAAATAAAAAATTGGTCAGCCGACTGGAGCTTATCAATCAATGACGAAAAATGTGCAAGAATAACCTTTAGTAACGCTCCTGGTCAACCTTTCTGGGAAAACGGTTCAACCCGTATCCAACTGGTTGATCAGCACAAAATTCTTAGTTTCTGGTTGAATTGCCACCTCTCTTTTTCTTCCCATAATCAAAAAGCCAGTATGNCAGTATGACCGCTTTTCGTATTCTAAACCTTATCAACCGATCTTTCCCGCGTATAACCAAAGAGGACTTCCCTTTCGTCTATGGAACATACAAACGCCCACTGTTAGAATATGGCAGCCAAATTGCACATTCTGGCCTCATTCGCGACCGCGACTGACTAGAGCGTGTCCAGCGAAGGGCCACGAAACTACTACATGGCTTGTCAGAAATCCCTTACCCTATCCGACTACAACAGCTAAATCTATATTCTCTAGATATACGACGTATCAGAGGGAATCTTTTCCTTCTATATGACTTCTTCACGTCAGGCCAAGTTGACCGTTTCTTCATACGCTCTAGCTTCGAACACATAAGGGGACACTCAAGAAAACTCTTCAAACACCGGCCCAGAACCTTCATTCGCTCTAACTTCTTCACGTGCAGGGTCATCTCAGAATGGAACCAACTTCCACTGGAGATTGTAGACTCCTCCTCCAAAATGGTCTTCAAAACCCCTTCTAGACTCATACCTCAAATTCAAATTCAAATCACAGGACGTAGAGAGGCCTGCGCCTGTTGGGTGTCCTGGTA